AGGGAGGTTTGGGCCTTCCGGCGGTGGCGGGCGTTGCCACGCTCGTCGTGACAAGAGTGGCTAGCCACCCTCGCCAAGGTGGAAGGCAGAAGGGCCTCCCCCCTGCACATAGGAATCTCCCCAAAGCGTCCTCAATCCCCTCAAGTGGCACCCTCCCCCGCCGAGCGGGGGTAGGGTACCCAGACCGCAGGGGCGGGGGCCGCTTAGGGGGATCCCCACCGTGCGTTGGGAGGTTTATGCCTTCCGTTCCGTGGCGGTGGCACAGCCGTGTGGTTAAGGCGTCCATTCTCCCAACTGATCCATACCCCAACCTCCTTCAGCTAGTGCTCTTCCTCCTCCTCCTCCTCCCTCCTCATCCTCCTCCCTCCCCCCCCCCCCCCTCCTCCTCCTCCTCCTCCTCCTCCTCCTCCTCCTCCTCCTCCTCCTCCTCCTCCTCCTCCTCCTCTTACTCCCCCACCGCTCCATTTCCTCCTCCTCTTCCTTCTCCTCCTCCTCCTCCTCCTCTTCCTCCTCCTCCGCCTCCTCCTCTTCCTCCTCCTCCTCCGCCCTCTCCTCCTCCTCCTCCTCCTCCTCCTCCTCCTCCTCCTCCTCCTCCTCTCCCCTGTGTCCTCCCTGCCAGCGCGCCCGCCATGGTCGCCAAGCGGCCTGCGGCCACGCGTGCGGCCCGCAGGCGGCCGGCCGCGCCGGGGCGCGGGGCGGCCCCTCCTGCGGAGCTCGCGCGCGAGCTGGGCCAGCAGGTCACCGAGCAGCGCAAGTTTGTCGAGAACGGCTTTGTGCCAGGGTTCGCGCAGGCCCTCATCTGGCGCGGGTCCGTGGTCCACACGTCATGCTACGGGCTGGCGGACCCGGAGGCGGGCACCCCATTTACGGAGGACACGGTCGTGCGGCTGTACTCGATGACCAAACCGCTGACGGCCGTTGGACTGATGATCCTGGTGGAGCAGGGCAGGGTGGGCCTGGACAAGCCGGTCTCTGCCTACCTGCCCTGCTTCCGAAGGGTCCGCTCCGTGCGTCACGCGAACCAGATCCAGGCGGCGGAAGGAGCTCCAGCGCACGCGGGCCCGACCGTGCGACAGCTGCTCATGCACACGTCTGGGCTGAGCTACGGCGCTTTCTTCGGCACCGCGGCGCGCTACGCGTGCGAGAAGGAGTACGCAGAGCTGGTCCGTGGGGTCGACGAGGGCAGCGTCTGTTCGCTGGAGTCGTTCGTCGAGGAGCTGGCCAAGCTGCCGCTCCGCTTCCGCCCTGGGGAGCGCTGGGAGTACTCGCACGGGCCCGACGTGATCGGGCGCGTGATCGAGGTCGTCTCCGGGCTGCCGCTCAGCGAGTTCCTCGAAAGGCGCCTCTTCAGGCCCCTGCGCATGATGGACACCGCGTTCGAGGTCCGCCCGCGCAGCGTGGGCCGGCTCGCCGCCCTCTACCGCCAGGGCCCAGACGGGCGCGAGCAGGACCTGCAGCGGCTCGACGGCGGACAGCGGAGCGCCTGGACGGGCGAGCGCCGCTGCCCGATCGATTCTGGCGGCGGCTTCATGGGCTGCTCCTTCCCAGCCTCCGACGCGGCGACCAGCGTCGGCGGGGCCGTGTCGACGCTGCGCGATTACGCCCGCTTCGTCGGCGCCCTGGAGAACTTGGGGCGCTGCCCAGAGACCGGGGTGCGCATCCTCCGGGCGGAATCTGTGCAGAGCATGCTCTCGAACTGGCTGGAGCTGAAGAGCGTAGCGGGGGGCAGGAGAAGGATCCCGGGGTGGCACGACGCGGGGCGTGGCTCCATCGGCTGGTGCCCCCTGGGGCAGGTGAGCAGGGGCGAGTCCCTGCCAAAGGTCTGGATGGGCGGCATCGCCGGCACCTTCTGGGCCATCGACCGCGAGCTCGGGGTCTCGCTGGTGCACGTCCAGCAGGTGGCCTTAAGTCGGGCCTGTCCCTCTACAGGAGGGACAGGCAAACATAGTCAAAAAACAGTCCGGGGACTATCTTGTGAATGTGTGTTGAGCTATTTTGGGGCATTTTTTGATTACTTTTTTCTCTTCCTCCAAAATCCCCCTGTAGGGGGACAGGCCCGACCTCAAGGTGGCCGGCGCCTACGACTTCTACGGCGAGCGGCTGTGGCGCGCCGCCCGGGCCGGCTGCGCTGCCGCAGCGGGCTCCGCCGGGGCGGCCGAGGCCCACGGTGGCGGGCCCAGGAAGAGGCGCCGGCGCTGCGGCGCGGAGGACGCGGGGCGGTGAGGGCCCTCTTGGGCTCTGCGCGCCCGTGGGGGCAGAAGTTGTCGCCTGGGATCGGCCCGTGCCCTCTCAAAATGCGGCCGGTGCCGCCTCGTTCGGCGGTCGAGCTCAGCGATCTCCCATGGGAGCGGGACCCGTCGCGAATCCGCGCCCCGTCGTTCCATGCTTGCCATCGCCTGAGTTTCCTCCCTAGGGGAACAAAAGGTGACATAAACAAAAACTCGGAGGTCCGCGCGGATTTCTCGGATCGGCGCTGGACCCCCCCTCCCTGGCGCGCGGAGCGCGCCAGGGGCGGCGCCCGAGGCGCCAGGCGCCGCCGGGGGGCCCCAGCGCCGATCCGAGAAATCCACGCGGACCTCCGAGTTTTCATGTTTATGCTACTTTTTGTTCCCCTACTCTTGGGCTCTGCGCACCTGTGGGGGCAAAAGTTGGTTCCTGGGATCGGCAGGGGAGGGTCAGAGGCGCCCCTGTTGCGGCGCCGGCGCTCGACGAGCTGAGTTGGTAGGTCCAGTGTCAAATCGGGCGTGTCCCTCTGCAGGGGGAATGTTCAAGAACAGTCAACAAGAATGGTCTGGCAGCGATTCTGTACTTTTTTTTGTTGTTGATTTTTTTTGGGGGGGTCTTTTTGTTTTTCGTCCAAGATCCGCCTGTGGGAGGACATGCCCGACCTAGATCTTGTGAGAGGCCCAGCTGAGCCCGGCCCATGCACGAGCCGCCTTTGAGAGGCCTCTTGGTGTCATTTGGGAGGCCGGGGCTTGGTTTGAGCCACTGTGGGTGCCTCTGTGTGGCGTCTCGGCAGCCTCTCGGAAGCTTCTTGGGGCCTCCTGTGAACCTCTTGAGGGTCTCTTTCGGGAACTGGACCTATACATTACCAGTGGCGGGCCGTCTTCCAATCCCAGGACTTTTCGAGGGTCGGGGACGACGTAGGGGTGGTGTAGTGTATACTTGTTTCCACGTTTCCCTAGGAAACATTGGAAAATGTATACACCATGGTCCCGTAGACACCAGGCTCCGCTTTCTTGCGCAAAGGTCCGTGCAGGGCTGCACAAAAACGTCGGTGTAAAGAGCACGGTTCCCTACTCTTAGGACATCTTGGGTGCCTCTCGGGGGCCTCAAGGCGGTCTCTGGGCTCATCTTGGGGTGGTTGGCTCCAAATGTCAGTTCGTGTTCCCCTTCTTGGTCCCCTCTCTGGGCCGATTTCTGGTCTCCTGTGTATCTCTTGGTAGCCTCGGGGGCCGTCTTGTGGTGATTTTGGGGGCCTCTTGGGCCGAAGTGGAAACTCTTAACACAGAAAAGACGAGACTGCGTAAGTCATATATTTGAGTACCGTGTGGGACCTGCTCTAGAACAGGACTGTACCGTAGACGGATCTACCCTTTCTCCGACCTTGCACCCTGCCGAATGCAACGGCCACGTTGACCATAGACGTATCCACCCTGAACGTGTCTATGGACGTCACGGCACCCAATGTGTCCATAAGCGCTTTTCGCTAGGATGTGAGAACGGTATCTGGCATCGGCTCCAGATGTTGGTCTTCTGAAAGCAGGCAGGCCTGGCCCGCCAAGTCATACAATTACGTCATACTGTTCAGTATATGTTGGCCTCTGAGGCCGGCCCTCACGGCCTCCAAGATGGCCCAAGAGGCCCTTGACATAGAGCTCCATGATGGCCCCTTGGCCGCGCCCTGACATCTGGGCCATGGGCTCTTTCTAGAACAGAAGGAGCTCGACCACAAGAAACCTTCTACAAGAAACCCAATTTGAGACCCCAGGAAGTCTATTGATTTTTGGTGTGGGAACGTCACGCTTTCCAGGGACTGGGTTGTAGGCAAGCATGTTGTTTCTTGGCATGGGTTTCCACTGTATCTAGCTGTCTGCTGCAACCCTTCACCGTGCCTGTGCGACTGCGTAGCAGGAAGGAGTCCGTGTGTAGGAACAGCGCAATTCCGACGAGTGCTTTGAACTCAGACGGGTTGTGAAGATTGACCTCGTCTTCGACCGCTCGGCAGGAAGGCGATCGAGTTCACGCCCCGCTGTAGTTTACCGATTCATGTGAGCTTGGACGGTTCGTGAACTCGACCTAGTCTTCGTCCTCGCGGTAGGAAGGAGGTCGTTTTCACGCCCCGCTGCACTTCAGCGAGTGGTCTGAACTGGAACGTGGAACGTGTCATGAGCTCGACCGCGTCTTCGTCTGCGTGGTATGAAGGAGGTCGAGTTCATGCCCCGGTGCAGTTCAGTGGTTTGTCTGAACTGAAGAGAGCCGTGATCTCGAACTCAACCTGGTTCGCGCGGTAGGGGGGAGGTCGAATTCACGCTCCGCGGCAGTTCAGCGTGTGGTTTGAACTGAGGTGGGTCGTGGTCTCGACCTCGCGGTCGCCCGCGCGGTATGCAGGAGCAGGAGGAGGAGGAGGAGGAGGAGGAGGAGGAGGAGGAGGAGGAGGAGGAGGAGGAGGAGGAGGAGGAGGAGGAGGAGGAGGAGGAGGGGTGGCTTACAACTGGAGGGGGGGCTGAGCGCCACCCCCTGCCAGCGCGCGGCTGCCTCGTCAAGTGCGCCCCGGCCTGCCGCGCGGAGGCCGCGCCCGAGCGCAGCACGGCGCCTCGCTGGGGCCGCGCGCCGGGGCCGCGCCGGGTGGGCCGCGGCGGGTCCGCGCCGTGGAGTGCGTGGGGGGGCCCTCGCGTGCGCGGGCCCATCGGAGGAAGGGCGCGGCCTGCGCTCGCCTGCCAGCCGCCCGCAGGTGTCGGAGCCATGTCGGCCCTCGTGCGCATCACCACGGGCATCATGCGGGGGCCTCAGGCGGCGGGGCGGCGCCCTGCAGGGGGCGGGGGCGGCCGAGGCCGAGGGATGGAAGAACGCTCCCGCCCTGGGCTGCAAGTGCGCGGTCTGCAAGCCTCTCCTGGGAGCTCCCAGGGAGCCAGCGAGCCGCCAGGGCGCCGCGCGACGCGAGCGGTGCGCATGGCTCATGACCCTGTCAGCCCACGGGAGGGTCAGCGCACGGTGCCTCGTAGAGCTTGGTGGGGGCGTGCTTTACGCCCTTTAGAAGGGGGGGGGACGATGACTAGGGTTAAGTCGGGCATGTCCCTCTACAGGAGGAGTATTCAAAAATAGTAATAAGATAATCAGGGGACGATTTTCCGATTATGATTAACTATTTCCGAGTATTTTTGAATATCTTTATTTTTCCTTCAAAATCCGCCTGTAGGAGGACATGCCCGATCAAAAGCTGGTGTGTGTGTGTGTGTGTGGATCTCATGGCCGGGACCCTGAGGTCTCCCCAGATTTGAGGGCGCTTCGTCTTCTCCATTTGCACGTCCCCTGGCTCCCCCGCCCCGGGCCCCCCCGCGCACACCTCGGGCCATGATTTGCGCACCCCCACTCTTGAACGGCCCACACTTGGACGTCCCCGACTTACATGGCAGAGGACTTTGTTGTTGGTTGTGTTGTTGTTGCTGTTGCTGTTGCTGTTGCTGTTGCTGCTGTTGTTGTTGTTGTTGTTGTTGTTGTTGTTGCTGTTGCTGTGCTGTTGTTGTTGTTGTTGTTGTTGTTGTTTGTTTGTTGTTGTTGTTGTTGTTGTTGTTGTTGTTGTTGTTGTTGTTGTCGTCGTCGTCGTTGTGTTGTTGTTGTTGTTGTTGTTTGTTGGTGTTGTTGTTGTTGTTGTTGTTGTTGTTGTTGTTGTTGTTGTTGAACATTATTACTTCTAAAGAATAATTATTGTTGGGACCCCTGGTGCACGGCCCCCTCGCCGCGCCTAGGCCGCAGCGCAGTTTTCATCATTTTCGTGAGGAAGTCTCCGGCAAAACGGGTTGGTCCGGATCCGGTTGTTTTGTTACGGGCGGTTTTCCCTTGCAAAAAATAAGCAAAGTGGACATTTCTTGTTCTAACATAACCAAACTTCAAGAATCCCTTGCAAAAAATAAGGTAAAGTGGACATTCGCGCGCGCAAGACGAAATCCTTCCAAAACCTTAGTGTTCGTAGCGATTTTAACATAAAAACATCAAAAAACCAATGGTTTTTCAAAAAAAAAGTGTCAAAATTTCATCCCGCGCGCTCTTGCGGATTTGTAGGAAACCCAACACTTTTTAAACATTTCTGTCAAACGGGCTTTTGCGAGCAACTTTTCACGTGCTTCGAACTTCTCCAACAACGGTTGCGCACCTGCCAGGGCCATCATCCCTGTCAAATAATACCATGCGGGACACATTCGTTTTTTCTTCGCGCGCGCACGCCGAAATCTTCAAAAACCATTGGGTTTCTTAGAATTTTAGCACCGCGCAACATAAAATCATACGAATCGCACCGTAGGTCCTCGAAAAACATCTGTACGAATTTTCAAAATTTCTACCCGCGCGCGCTGTCCGAATCCTAAAAAACCAATGGTTTTTCAACATTTATGTTACATGAGGAGTAGCGCCTCACCAGCCAAAGCAGTCCATATCATTGTAGGACCTACAGACAGTACCGGCGTCGTACTGGTTTACCGTGGTTTCCTATTCTAGCGTCAGGAACACGTTACCACCAAAAACCAGTACAGGTGTCCAGTGTTGGAACAGGGGGAAAAGTCGTATACTAAGCTAGCGTCCAGAAAATGTTACCACAACAAGTCACTGTACCCATGCGCCAGTGTAGTAGCCACGGTCGTCCGCAGGCCACGAAGTGAAGTGTCCGAACGTCATAGGGCGGGAAGCTGGGTGTGGGTGGTGGCGAAGAGTCGTTTGGAAATGTGGTAGAGCTTGAACCGGCCCCCCCACAAAGTGGGGGTATTGGCGGGCGTCGTATGAAAACCCTGGCACTGGTGAGAACGGAGTGTCCCCACGTGCTAGTAATTGTTGTTGTTGTTGTTGTTGTTGTTGTTGTTGTTGTTGTTGTTGTTGTTTGTTGAACATTATTTATTCTAAAGAATAATTATTGTTGGGCCCCCTGGTGCGCGCCCCCCCTGCGCCGCCTAGGCCGCAGCTACATTTTCATCATTTTCGTGAGGAAGCCTCAGGTAAAACGATGTGTCCAGATCCGGTTGTTTTGTTGTAATCCGCTTTCCCTTGCAAAAAACAATATAAAATGACATTTCTTGTTCTAATATAATCAAATTTCAAGAATCCCTTGCAAAAAATAAGGTAAAGTGGACATTCGCGCGCGCAAGACGAAATCCTTCCAAAACCTTAGTGTTCGGAGCGATTTTAACATAAAAACATCAAAAAACCAATGGTTTTTCAACAAAAAAATGTCAAAATCTCATCCCGCGCGCTCTTGCGGATTCGTAGGAAACCCAACACTTTTTAAACATTTCTGTCAAACGGGCTTTTGCGAGCAACTTTTTCGAACTTCTGCGACAACGGTTGCGCACCTGCCAGGGCCATCATCCCTGTCAAATAATACCATGCGGGACACATTCGTTTTTTCTTCGCGCGCGCACGCCGTCGTCGTCGGCCGCGGGGCCCTGAATAGTAGCCACGGTCGTCCGCATGCCACGAAGTGAAGTGTCCGAACGTCATAGGGCGGGAAGCTGGGTGTGGGTGGTGGCGAAGAGTCGTTTGGAAATTTGGTAGAGCTTGAACCGGCCCCCCCACAAAGTGGGGGTATTGCCCGCCTCCTATGAAAACCCTGGCACTGGTGAGAACGGAGTGTCCCCACGTGCTAGTTGTTGTTGTTGTTGTTGTTGTTGTTGTTGTTGTTGTTGTTGTTGTTGTTGTGGTTGTTCGCGAGGACACTACTGGAGGCCCGCCCGTTGCTCGACCCCCCCCCCCCGAGCAACGCCACGGGGCCACGCACCCCGCAGGGCCCCTGGTCCGAGCAACGCCGCAAGGCCTCGCCAGGCCGCTGCGGGAGTCTGCAGGGCCCGTCGGCGTTGCTCGGAAGGTCCTTTCGGGGCTGCTGCGGAGTCCCATACAGACCCCAAAGGGCGCACCCCTCTCACGGATCGTGGCCCGCCCTGGCCCCACAGGGAGCTTCACCGAGGCTTGATTTCGGCGCACCCTTCTCGAGGATCGTGGCTCGGGGAGCTCCACCGAAATTTGATTTCGGGGTCTCCTATAGGAATTATACGGGATCCCTACAGGGTCCTACAGGATTCCATCGGAACCCTATAGGGATCCTATTGGAATCCTATAGGATTCCTGCAGGGTCCTCCAGGAGTCCATAGGAAACCAATTGGAATCCTGTAGGAATCCTGTAGGATCCCTACAGGGTCCTACACGACTCGATGCTAATCCTATTGGAATCCTTGAATAAAGCTCCCTAGGATCCCTGCAGGGTCCTCCAGGATGCCAGCGGAAACCAATTGGAATCCCGTAGGCATTCTATAGGATCCCTACAGGGTCCGACAGGATTCCATAGGAATCCCATACGAATCCCATAGGAAATCTTATAGGGTCCCTACAGGATCCTGCAGGGTTCCATACATCCTATTGTAGTGCTACTGGAATCCAATGAGATCCCTACAGTGTCCTACAGGATTCTATAGGAATCCAATTGGAATCTCATTGGAAACCCATAGGGTCCCTACAGGGTCCTACAGGATTCCATAGGAATCCTATTGGAATCGCACTGCAATCCCATACGGTCCCTACAGGGTCCTACAGGATTCCATGCATCCGTTGGGGCTCCTATTGGAATCCTATAGGCTCCCTACAGGGTCCTACAGGATTCCATCGGATGCCATCGGATTCCAATAGTCCTATAGGGTCCCTACAGGGTCCTACAGGTTTCCATAAGATTCCAATCGGAATCCTATTGGGGTCCTTTTGGATCCCTATAGGATCCCTTCAGTGTCCTACAGGATTCCACGAACCCTATAGGAATCCTATAGGATCCCCACAGGGTTTACAGGATTCCATAGGAATCCGATTGTAATACTATTGGACTCCTATGGGATCCCTACAGGGTCTTACAGGATGCTGTAGGATTCCTATAGGAATCCTATAGGATCCCCTACAGGATCCCATAGCAACCCTATAGGAATCCGAGGGGGGCCCTATAGGATCACTACAGGGTCTTACAGGATTCCATAGGAACCCTACAGGAATCCTCTAGGATCCTTACAGTGTCCTGCAGGATTCCATAGGAAACCTATAAAGGGGGGGAGGAGCTGGCCTCGCTGGCGCGCGGTCGGTTTTCGGACACAGGAGTGCGTGGGGAACAGTATGGGAGCCCACGGAGATTCGGAAGCACATATAGATTTACGTCAGCGTATGACAGAGGTGTTGCGCGTTGCTCCCCCCCCCCCCCCGGGGGCAACCACTGCATCGTTTGGCCTGGGGGTGTGCGCTCGCCCCGTGGGCGAGGACACCGCCACGGGCCCCGCTGGGGTGGCCTGAGAGGTTGTCCTTGCGTTGTTGTTGTTGTTGTTGTTGTTGTTGTTGTTGTTGTTGTTGTTGTTGTTGTGTTGTTATTGTTGCTATTGTTACTGTTGCTGTTGCTGTTGCTGTTGCTGTTGCTGTTGCTGTTGCTGTTGTTGCTGTTGTTGTTGTTGTTGTTGTTGCTATTGTTGCTATTGTTACTGTTGCTGTTGCTGTTGCTGTTGCTGTTGCTGTTGCTGTTGCTGTTGCTGTTTTTGCTGTTGTTGTTGGTGTTGTTGCTGCTGTTGTTGTTGTTGTTTGTTGTTTGGTGTTTGTTGTTTGTTGTTTGTTGTTTGTTGTTTGTTGTTTGTTGTTTGTTGTTTATTGTTTGTTGTTTGTTGTTTGTTGTTTGTTGTTTGTTGTTTGTTGTTTGTTGTTTGTTGTTTGTTGAACATTATTTCTTCTAAAGAATAATTATTGTTGGGGCCCCTGGTGCGCGCCCCCCCCGCCG